ACAAACACATGTAAGCACGTCATTCAGACGAACCACGCAATCACTAAATCCTTGAAATCGCGAATTATCTTGTCTCTACATTTTGGGCCATTTTTAGTCCATTATTCATGCGATACATAAAGAGCTTTGCTATATCCCCGCTTCCTCATCTTTTCTTGGCGATTGCTGAGTAAATATGCGCCTCCGCTTCTTATTAGTAATAGTTAATCACTACCCATGGGTTTTTCAATGTTATTTTTTTTACTACAGTGATTTGATGTTTCAAAATATCTTAAGCCTTGAGAATATTTTAAAGAAAATTAAGGAGTATTAACTGGCAATCTCCTAGAATTGTTTGAGAATATATAAATTTTTTCTATTCTCTTTATTTATGGGATATGTCGACATGGTTGGCAATAAGGCCTCCTTAAGTAGAGTTATACTCGACAAGATTGTTCCTTATAATTTTTTTTTGTATAATTCCTTTTTGATCTACAAATTACACAATCACAATATTTTGAACTCAAGGTTTACAATCTCTGTTTTACACCTTGAAAAAATAAGCTGATCATGGGGAATAGTAGCGTTAGAAGATAAATTTTACCAGCATCAAGCTATTGTATGATAAACAATTGCGTTTCAAACCCTCCTAGAATGGCTAGTCTGTGTTGTGTGTTGTTGACACCTAATTGGCTGTTTTCTTAAAAAAATACAATATTTATCGCTGTAAATCTTCGACAGGTAATTACACTATGAATAAGTGGCAATTCTCAAGTTTTTATTGTTGCGTACGTTATGCATGTGACCAGATACTCTGAATACGACCATCAAAACTTACAGAATTTTGAGATAATTCTTGAAAAAAAAAATGTAGGAAAAAAACTCTATGAAAGCGTTAGTGTGGAAGGGATTCAATATTATTAGATACTTTGTATTAGAGTCCTTAATTCAAACAAGAAACACGAAAATTTATCTTCTTTTTAGTCTTAGGTCAGACACTCTTAACACTCTTGAAACGATGATACGATATCAACGCGTGGTGCAGTAGATTAGGGCCATTGTTCATCCTATGCAACTCTTTCATATATGGCGAACTTATAAAGTGAGGGCTCCTATTTGGGCAGAAAATCGAGAGAGAGGCCTTTTCAACCCCATTTTTTTTACAATGGCTACTAACTTTTTGAGCTGCTTCCAGTAGCACCGAACGTGATAACTTCATTCTCCAGCTAGCTCCAGCTTAAGTAGTGTCTTAGAGAATCATCTGAAATTTAGAATTTACATTTTGATTTGGGTCCTTTTTTGAAAGGAACATGTAGGGAAGTAGTTAGTCACATATGCTGAACTTAAACCAATTGCACTTTGAGTCAGCTTCCGGCTTTTTTTTATCGTCTCATGATAATTCACTACTTCACAAATTGATGTAAATTATTACGAGCGCAAAAACTATTAAGTAGGTTATTTAGAGTTTATCATTGCTCATAACTAAAAATTGCTCACATTCACCTTTCTGGTACGCTTGTTCTAATTAGTCTATGGACTGAGTAAACGTCAAAAAACTACTGAGTGCTAATATAGAGAGAAGTTGTCTTTTATTACTTTACAGGGATACGGAGACTAACTAGAATGCAAAAGGACTGATGGTGAAGAAATTGATTTAAGTGCAAATAGTCAGCTGTTTTAAGAAGTTCTTTTTAGCAATTCAATCTACTTCTTATCTACTTCGAATCTAATTCATGCAAAGTTATTGCAATCTTATCGTAATTGGATTATTCTCTAAACGTTTCAGCTCTCGCAGAATCCAGGCTATTTCATCTTACTCTTATTTCTTCGACTTCTTTGGTTGCCTTTTAAGACTGCACCTGTATGTCTCAGCGATGAACTCTACTACGTTTGTAGTAGTCTGCACCTAAGGGTGAAAAAATATACCTAATAAGTTTTCGTCGCTTTGTGCACTATATTTACACTTGGTCTTTTGACGTTGACATTGCAATTTCATAATGTTAAGTGAAAACCAGCGTGACTTATCACATTGCGTAATACGCTTGATATATAGATTTAACTTTGGCAAAGGAAGGCGGAAATTGCTTTGCTTCATTCTTTCATAGCTTAGCGGGTTACGAATCTCATACGTAAATACGATGGATATCTATAAGTGTTGAATGCTTTGCATTGGTTTGTCAGCTAATTTTAGGTTTTCTCTGCTGTTTAATCATTGTTTACGCTGGAGTATTTCTGTCTTATTTTTAATGTTCCTTTGCAGAAAACGCTGTTAACTTTCTTGACTATGAAAGTGGTTATTGTTTCATTTGCATGTAGCTAAAGCCATTCTTTTCTAAAATCCTCTTTTTTTCGTCAAATTTGCCAACAGTGAAGAAAAACTCTAAATGTCTCAAAATGCCACACCTCCATAGTATTTAGCTATTAACAAGACTAGTTTAGATTTGGATAATGTCCTAAGCGGCTTTAAGGATAGAGCGGCTATAGAGTTTGGATGCTATACTTAAGACTGGAAAAATCACGATTTACCGAGATTGATAGCTGAATCATACATTTGAAGCATATGCAATGGGCAATTTTATTAAAAAGTTGAATTGGGATGGGTTTCTAACAAGCGTTTGCTCTTTAGCCTCTTTAGCTTTGAAGAAAAGCTGAAATAACTCTTATAAATTTCTTGTGACTCATTACAGATAAATAGTGTTTGATTGAACTCGAAAAAAATAATGTTAGAATTCAGCGTTTGAATATATCACAAATTTACCATCTTTTTTAGAAGTACGTAACGGGTGGGATTTACGTATAATGTACTCACCAATGCTTTTAAACGATCCTTTTTTTATACTATCATTTTTTTTAGAATTTCAATCTTACGAGCTTCTATGTTTCATCAAGACGCGTTTGATTAATCCTCGGGTTTGTTTTAGATTAGTCAACCTCAAGTTCTATAATAGTCCTAAGCAATAAATTTCAATGAGTCAGCCCATCGCACAATGTTCCCTGCCTTCGCTAAAAGTGGATCAACTTTGAGAAAATTAAATTATAAAAGCAAGAAAGAAGCTAACTGCTTAAGAGGCAATCGTATTATCGGTCATCGTATGTGTTCCAAAACCTCTCTGTCATAATCGTATAATTTACTGGACTTTAAGTGTGCACTCTAGTTCTCTCCATGACGAATTCGTTGGTAGGCGTTCTTCTGAATTATTCAATAACGGATGAGAAATGACGAGTAGAAAGACATAACCCTCCTGTTCCTGATCCACGGTACTGTTTTGTCTACAGAGTGATTCGGAAATTTGCCGCTATTATACTGCTCTGCATTCTTATCATGCTACTCTGCATTCTATCTTCATTTTCTAGCTTTTCTTTACATTTTCTTTGTACTCGTATGTTTTTTGAAGGAACAGAAGCTATTAGTCTTTAAGGTGCAAATTCCGGTAAAATCTTGTTCGTGCTGTTCAAACAAAACGTGTGTGGTCAGGCCCAGAGAAACTCCATTGAATCTCTTGCGTAGATTTTGAATCTACGAGAATCTACATA